GACCAACTTGACGCCAAAGGAAACTGCATTACGGCAACGTGTTGGCTGCCTTTCTCGGTAATTTGCTTTGGTAGAGATTGGCCTTTTTAAATATACCATGCACACACTTCTTCAAAAACCAACATGAAAAATGAATAAAAATTTAAATGTACTTGTTTGGGAACTTTTTCCAGGCATTTTGCTTATTTTTTCCTATTATTAAATAATTCTTGAATTGAAATAATTAAAATGTTTGCTTGAAATAATTAAAAAGTTAATTTTTAATAAAATAAGATAAACATATAACAAAAGTAGGAATGGCCCGCGTGAAAAAAATTGAATACTTACAAAATAGTATTTTATTCTACTCAAAAGAGTAAGATAATTACTATTTTTTACAATGAAAGTTTTTTTTTGACAAGTGATTCTTAGGAAGACAAATCAACTGAAACAAACCACGTGTTAAATGTTGTGTTATATTTATAAAATTGAGAGAGAATTTTTTTAAAAAGTAAAAGTAAAAGTAAAAATTGTTTTAAGGACGAAGAAAATGAGATTGAGAGTTTGGTAAATTTATGTTAATAATAATTTTTTTACTAAAACAAGTTTTTAGAAGACTATTTATCAAAATGTGTTAAATTTGGGAGTGTCGAGAAATATCTAATTTTTGAAAGGAAATTCAGTCCTTAAAAACGTCCAGAGCGCTGACAGTAGCTTTGCAACGAGTTTCCATTGAACGAATGGGAGCTCTCCCCAGATGAGAGCTTAGAGCTCTCGTTAGGGAGTTCTCCGAAGTCCTATCCGAAAGAAGCTCCCATTTGTGGAGGGGAGCTTTGCACAAACAGGAGCTCTCCTTCTACAGAATCTGGAATTTGGATTCTAAATATTTGATTTTTTACTAAAATTGGCTCCGATGACCTGATTTTTCAACACCATCAAATTTAATATATTTTGGTAAATAATTTTTCAAAAACCTTTTAAGTAAAAGCCATTTATTGTTAATATAAATTTTCCTAAAAGTTTTTTATAAATATAAATAGAAGTAATATTTTTAATTTTTCTAATTTGAAAGTAAGTGCCAAATTTGTGAAAAAATAAAAAAATTCATGCAATTGTAAATGTAGAAAGAATTAAAAAACAGATTAACAAAAAATCTTTCCATACCTTGTATCTTAAAACTATATATTATTAACATTTGAGACCATCTAAAACCACGTGAAAATTCCCCGAAGGTAAATCAAATAATTAAGAGCATATCAAGAAAATCATCAATACTCAAATATAAAATAATAATAGTAATAATAATAAAGGAATGTGAATGGAAAGGGCCTTTTTCCCCATCTCTCTATCGGGAAAGAGGGGGAAAAGTAAGTCCGTCCGTCCGTCCGTCCTCGATTTCTTGAAAGCGCAACCTTCTATTGCTAGGTGCCGTGGAAGTCTGGCGTGCAACATTGATTTGACTCGTGGGAACCGAATGGCCGGATGGAAGTGTTAATCGGAAAATTTTTCAGACAGAACTGACCCGCCTACATTTGCCAAAATTGAACCGACTTGTTCAGGTTTTCTAGTGGCATGAACCAAAAACGATTTGACATTTTTTCACAAAATAAAAAAATATTTCACATTTTTAAAATAAATTACTATGTTATAAAATATTTAAAAAAATCACAGTTTATACATTTTTTATGACATGTCCCTAATTTAAATAAATAAAACTAAAATTAAGATGCAGGTAATATTAGTCCATTTCTTGAATGAGTCAACCTGAATTTGACCCATTTGACACTAATAATTTCCTTAAGTGTGTCAAAAAAATAGATTTTAATTTAAAATTGAAACTAATTTTACAAGTCAAATATGATGAAAATATTTAATAAATTAAATAAATTATAAATATTCGTAATATAAAATATGTGAACTTATTGTTAAAAATCTGAACATAAATTTTAATAATATTTTTATTAAATTAATAGTCATATATATATATATGTGTGTGTGTGTGTGTGTGTGTATATATTAATAAAACAAACTTGTAAAGATTAAATTAGAGATAATTGATAAATATAGTTGAAAGGCTTATGTGCAAAGTAACATTACATTTTATCAGATCAGATTTTTTATCAAATTTTGAATTATTTATCAAAATTTGGATTTAAATTAATAAATAGATTTTCTTATGATCAAATTTAAATATAAATTAGTCAAATTTCATCTAAATTTAATAAATTTTATCTTTTAGTTTATTTTGCAAGACTCACATATTAATTCTATCCCATATAAATATAATGATTTAAATAATTAACTAATAATTTTTAAAAATGTAAAAATTTCATAAAAATCATTCAAGCTAACCCACCATCAACCATTTCAATCATTTTTGTGTTCTACGAAGGTTATTATTATGCTGGAGAAAATAGATATTCATTTTTAATACCGAGAGTTCTGACGACAAATAACTAACCACATATTAAAAAATATCCACGTAATACACTTCAAGAAATACCAACATTTTCAATTTGGATAGTTAATCATGATAATTTGACTGTGAGTTAAAATTTGGATTTGTGAGTTAGGTCAGATTTTTTTTGCTTTATATTAATTGTAAAAAATTATTAAAATGATGATATTTTTTAATTATATGCTTTGTAAAAATTATTTGTATAGTATTGATCTAGTTTAGGTTACTATCATCGGATGAGCTAAATAACTACATAGCTTGCTTCTGGCTAATTACTATCACTAGTTGGTGTTTTTTGGCGTCAAGTTAACAAGCTGCCTACTAGAAAACAGTTGAGTTCACGCACAATTAATTTTGCCCAAAAATCTCACTTGCCAGCCTTTTTAGCTAGGTGAATGTCTACAACTGGCAATGTCAACCAACCATCTCTAGAAACTGGCAATGTCAACCAACCATCTCTAGTAATTTCTTATTGATTATCGTCATCTGTCAATTCTTTGTCCGAAAAAACATAAAGTCCTAAATCCTTTTGTCATTTGCCTAGGTCTGCCAATGGCACTTCATGACTACCAATAGCCAATTGGTGTCCCTAGCTGACATCCATGACGGTGGCATTGTGGCCACCTGGCAACATTGGTCATCAGTGATGCTTCAATGGTAACATCCATAGTAGAGGTAATTGACTCAAGTTTTGAGTCATAATTGTAAAACAAATTTAAAAGATAATTCAAAATTTTGGAATTCTAGAGTCAATGACAAAAAATCACATGATTTCAGTTCTAAGCTAAAAAAACAAGTTTTTTCTGAAAATTTGATTGTAAATTCATGACTCCAATCACCTTCTATCCAAATGATCTAATAATTTTTTACATTTAATATTTTTATAATAATTTTGAAAACACAATTGGCTTATTTGATAAAAAGTAAATTTAAGGAAAATATATATTTTAAAAAAATAAGTTTAGGGAAAATTAATTTTATTGTTATAAATAAATAGCTAATTTATCTTTTAATTTTTTAACCCCATTACACTAATTAATTTCTTTTTATTTTTAACTGTGCAAGAATAAGTATGTCCAAAACCACCCCTTGGGAGGGTTTGGCTAAAAACCTCCAAGCGATATTTAATCAAATCCTTAGTCTGTGTGATAGTAGGTTAGAGCTATTTCAACTAAGCCTAAACCTGATCTAAATTTTACAATGAAATATGTTGGAAATACTTAGTTTAAGACTTATTGAAAATATGCTAAATGAAATCGTCAATATGTATACAAGTATTGTTAAAAAATTTACCATAATTGGACATCTTATCGCCTCAATTTATCAATTATTTTAACAGAGATTAACCAAGACTAGAAAACTAGGGATTTGTTAGGAAAATAAAGTAATAGTTTAAGGAGTTAAGTTTCAGAATTGAAACTCGAGGGGTGTCTTTGCAATACTTGTAGTTTACACCTTTACAGGAAATGGATTTTTTTCTCCTTTATCTTTGACATTTAAATGAAAATGAAATGAACAATAAAATTAGAAATTGATTAAAAATAGAATCAATTTTAAATCCATAAAAATGCAGTCTTAAAAACTAACAATTATAATATTTGATTAAAATTATTTTAAATTATAAAATAGATAAAACATTTATAAAAAATTAAAAAATAGACCAACGTTGCTTCTTCATCATCTTCTGTCTTTTTTTTTTTTATTCCCTAAAGTTTGTAATTCGTATTCCCAAATTCTATGAATTTAAGTTGCATGGTTGGGCAGCGATTGACCGAAGCACTCTCTCTCTCTCTCTCTCTCTCTCTCGTAGATATGAGGTTAATTTGATGCTGGGTGCTACCCTAGTGGGGCAGCACCCAGCAATTGTTTTTTTTTTGTTTTTTTTTTTTATTTCATATTTAATTAAATAAATAAGATTTAGATTTAATATTAAATATCAAATTATTTTATAAACAATCAAAATTATTTTTTTTACTTTTTAAATTTAAAAATAAAACACAAAAAACTAATTTTTGTTTAAAAATTTAAAAATAAAACACAAAAAATTTAAAAATCTAAAAAATTTAATATTAATATATATAATTAAAATAAATATTAATATTAATAAATTTATCTAAGTAGTTAATTTTTATTTAATCAAATAAATATGAAATAAAAAATAAAAAAATTAAATAAAATGAACACGTGTCTTGTTGCTGGGGGTGCTACCCCACTGGGTAGCACCCAGCATCAAACCAACCTAGATATAACGCGGCCATGTCTGGCTCAGTGCCAGTTGGCGTGATAAATTATTTTTATCAAATTTACTTTTTATTATTTTTCCAAGAATAATAAAGCCATCTAGAACGTTCCCACGAATAGATGCTAAGTTGCGCCCCACATGTAATTTCCACGAACCAGAGGAGGAAAATTGAGTGAATATCGAAATGCCAATAAAAATTAAAATACAGGACTTTACGTTCATTTCAAAGCTTAAGTTTCTTCGTGGTTGGCAGATCTGGGGATTCCATTCTGGTTTACAATTCCAATTTTTCCTGCTGAAATATTTGAATTTTAGAGAGAGATGGCCGATGCAGCAGTTGATACTTTGTTGCAGAATCTGAAGGGGCTACTGCAGAGCAAGGCTGATTACATCCTTGCAGTGAAGGATGAAATTCAATCTCTCTACAACGACTTCACTTACCTGAGTTCCTTCTTGAGAGATTCAGAGGGCAAACGCGGTGCACATGAAGAAGTGAAAGGTCTTGTGAGATCTATTGGAAACATGGCCTGCACGACTGAAGAAATCATTGACTCCTACGTGGTTGACAATGTTAGTCCAATACATCGTATTCGTCCCGAAAGAACTCATTCATCCCCATTTGTCGAGTATTTAGTAAAGATAATAATATCTCTTTGTAGTATTTTTGATTCGCCGTGTCTTCTTGGTCGTGATAACTTATATGCAAAGCTCAGACCCGTCCATAACATTATCGAGTTCCTTAAGGAAGGAGTTACTAAGATTTACAACGACTTTTATGAAATTCACCACCCACAAGCTGGATTTCCATCGGACGGAATCTCTGCAAGATTGTACGCTCCCGATCAAAAGGTAACTATGGTGGGCTTTGATGAAGAGGTCCTGACACTGACAGAGCAGCTTACACAAGGAAGGAAGCGAGAAATTATCTCAGTAGTTGGAATGGCTGGCCAAGGTAAGACAACACTGGCTAGAAATTTGTATAATCATCCTTATATTGAGCATTACTTCCATATTCGGGCTTTTATCCACGTTACCCAGAATTATCAAATGAGGGATTTGTTACTTGCCCTTCTACGGTCCTTAAGTATTCAACCAAATGAGCGTCACACATGGAGTGAGGAGGAGCCAAGTGGAAAGCTTCGTAGAGCATTACTAGGAAGGAGGTATCTAATGGTCCTAGACGACTTGTGGGATATGAATGTCTGGGATCGCTTGATTCTGTCATTCCCAAATGACAACAACGGTAGTAAAATCTTGTTCACCTCTCGGCTTACTGGTTTGGCTTCGAAGTTGACCACTCCTCCCGTTTGCTTCATCTACGTTTTTTAAATAAAGATGAAAGCTGGAAACTGTTGGAAAACAGGGTATTTGGTGATGAACCTTGCCCCCCAGAACTGGTGGATATTGGAAAGAAAATTGCAATAGGGTGTCAAGGGCTCCCACTTGCACTTGTTGTTATAGGGGGGCTTCTTGCAAACGCGAGCAAGACACAAAAATGGTGGAATCAAGTTGCTGAGAATATAACTTTTTATGTGATCAGTGGTGAACGAGATTCCATGAATGCCCTGATATTGAGTTATAACCACTTGCCTCGTCATCTGAAAGCTTGTTTTCTCTATTTGGGTGCATTTCTGGAAGACAAAGAAGTCCCGGTGAGGAGGTTAACCAGGCTGTGGATTGCTGAGAGACTAGTTGTACTACCAGCTGATGAGCAGAAGTGCTTGGAAGATCTAGCGGAGGATTACTTGAAAGATCTGATAGGTAGAAACCTGGTAATTATTGGTAAAAGAAATTCTGGTGGTGGAATTAAAACCTGTGGACTTCATGATCTTTTGCGTGAGTTGTGCTTGAGAATGGCGAAGGAGGAGAACTTCCTAAAACAAGCTTATTACCACCGTTTAGTCCACTTTTGCTCCTCGTTCAGCCAGTCATCTGTTGAGACTTTCTTGTCTCAGGAGGAGTATTCCCCTAATGTTCGCTCTGTGTTGAGCTGTGAAATTTCAGCAAGAAACTTGTCATCATTAACTGAATGGGATGACCCATTTATAACGAAAGCTACCACGCTTCTTACAGTACTGGATCTAAGTTCACTCTGCATCTCCGAATTCCCCAAGGGAATAACACTACTAGTTCTCTTGAGGTACTTGTCTCTTTGGGTTGAAGTCAAGGGGCAGAAGAGTCATCCAATGTCAATAGGCCACCTCATCAATCTAGAAACTTTTATATTTAGAACCAATGAAGTGATAACCTTCGCACGCAGCTTCTGGAAAATGGAAAAGTTGAGGCATTTGCTTGTACATTCAGGTTCATACCGTATCTATCAATTTATGGTACACAAACCCTCAATTCTGAAAAACCTACAAAGCATCACATTATGCCCCGGTAGCTCTTGCCAAAGTGCCTTGCACCGGTTTCCTAATCTTAAAAAGCTCGTGTTTTGGGGGCCCTTTGTTTCAGAAGCAGGGTATGTGCCATTTCCTGACCTATCTTTCTTAAGCTGCCTTAAAAATTTGAAGTTGTGTCATAAAGGGTACGAAGTCAGGAGAGGAGGCAATCTCAAATCGTTTTCTCTTGACAAGTTGCCTATGAACATCAAAAGTTTGAGTTTAGAATATACAGCTTTAGATTGGAAGGAGATATCAATGTTGGGGATGTTACCCAACCTTGAAGTTCTTAAACTAAAGGACGACGCCTGCGCAGGGCCATGTTGGAAAACAAGCGATGGAGGGTTTCGTCGGCTTATATTCTTGAAGCTTTCTCTACTAGACATTGTGGAATGGGTTACTTGTAGTGATCACTTCCCATGCCTCCAGCATATAGTTTTGCAGAGGTGTAAATTGCTCGAGGAAATCCAACTTGATCTGGAGAATGTATACACTTTAAAATCCCTGGAGATAACAAACTGCAGTGAGTCGGCTGCCATATGGGCTTGGAAAATTAAAGAAGAGAAACAAAGTATGAACAGTAAGTGTTTGAACATCCAAATCAACCCTCTACCAGAATTGGCGTTTTGTGATGATCAGCAGAGCTCCGATGAACAGTGGTATGACATTTAATTTTATGAATTGAGCTGTTTTAAATGTCTTTTTCCTTTCAATTGACAAGTTCATTGCTTAGTTAGATGTAACTGGGGCGGCCCGCCTCGCCCAAGACTCGAATACCGCGGCCTTGTCAAGCGGCGCACGCCCGGCAACCAACAAGATCAATGGCCCGTGTTTTTGCTTGTGCCTTCCAAGCCTTTGTGAGCCGTAGGATTACAAGGGAAAAAACAAATAAAATAATACAACAAGGGAATCTTCGGTCAATGGGATTTGAGTTTAACAAGACATGCATTTAATGTTTAAGAAGGTTTTGAACCTTTGCAATTTGAAGAGATCTGTTGGAATTTAAACTTCCAGCCAACAGGATTCCTCCTTCCATGTTTCGGCCAATCAACTTTCACTTTTTCAAATCCAACCAATTAGCTTTAGCTTGAGCTTGAGGGTTGAAAAGTCAAGACTCTCGCCAATTTGCTTCCCGCCTCAAGTGTTTTCAAAGTATTAAATGCTATCAAATCCCACTTGCATGTCTATCCCGTCCGAAATCCCTTTCTCCGTGCAAACTCTCTGCAATTTCGGCCAACTGGACGGGACTTCTGGTTCCGTCCGGTTTATTTTGAATGGAATCCGTTGGCCACTTCCTTTGACCGGGACGGAATGGAATTTGCTTTCATGCAAATTTCAGGCACAGCAACGTCTTCCTTTGGCTTTCTCGCACGGACCGGGTTACGGAAGTTCGTTGTATCCGTAACGTTAGTTCATCTCGTATGCGAATTGCTTGACGACGAAGTTGGGTTGCACCTCGTTCGGGCGGACGGCATCAGGGCCTGAAGATCGCCCCGTAACAAGCTCCCCCAGCTATACCGTTGACGCCCCCGTCGACGTCGAAGAATTCCGCTTCTCCGGTTCCAACTCGTCTTCGCCATTTTCCATCTCAGTCTTCCGGCATGCCTTGGATGCTGTCCGTCGCAGCTAAGGGCTGCCTGATCTGCACATAGGCTCCCAGCCTTGTTCCTGCCTGATGCCTTACTGGACAGCTTCACTGTCCAGCTCATGGTTTCCCCAACGGACGGCGTGATTCCTTGCTGGCTACTTTCCGCAGCAATGGCCAACTCATTGGCCGTAACTCCAGCAAGCTCTTCCCCCCGAAGTCTTCCCTGAAGACTTTGCTCATGGCCTGCCCAGCTGTGCTCCGGGTTCAAGGTCTTCACGACCGTTGCTGAGTATTCTCTCCCGCAACTGTTTCTCCTGGAGAAAGTATTCGGGTCTTGGCCTTCCCGTTTCTCAGAAAGTTCTGCAACTTCCTGGGAGTCCTGCGCCCCTGGCTGGGCTCCCTTAATCTGCACAAACCCAACAGCTCACTTGCTCAGCAGCTCGTCCGACCTAGTCGTCAACCTGCCTGGAGCTGCTATGGAACCAAAACGCTTGGTCCCTGCCGTATGGTAGTCACCCCGCTCGGGAGCAACCTGCTCGACGCCCATCGTGCCCAACTTCCAGGTTTTCTGCTTAGCCTTTCTTCCCTGGTCAAGCTTCTTCACACCCCTGTCAAGCGTCTGATCCAAGCCTGTCGACCTCTTCACCGAACAGCACACCACCGGACACCCGGGTGTGGCTTTCGGCTGACTACCTTCGGCTGTTATTGCGCCCTTGAGTCGTAGTTCTTTGGGCAACTCAAGCTGCCAAACTGATCACAGACAGGCGTAGCAGTAAGCGGCTCTGTCCGAGTTCTGTCCGCCCCTGTTCTTCGGCCAGCGTCGCCTGCCTCACTGGACAACAAACAGCGGCTCACCGGGACAACTCCCTTGTCAACCGAAACACCTCCAATGGCTTCCCCATCACTGGAAATAGCCTCCTCTTCTCTCACTTAGACCCCCGTTTCTCCAGAAGTTCCACGGGTGCCGTTGTCTGTCAAGAATCGCAGGAAAGCCGTCCGTCGGTTTGGTGGCTTCCCTACGCATTCCGGTTGGACGAAGGCCCACTTGGCCTTCGGTTTCATCTTCTGGAGGAACCCGGCTCCCCCAGCTGATCCCCTGAGTGTTTCGGCAACTTCCATGATCATTTGAAGTTTGTTACCGTTGGTTTCCAAGTTGACCCAGTCAACTTCTCTCAAAACAGAGCAGAGCTTCGGGCTTCTGGATACGCCTTGCGGCTGAACGGTTTCAGCTGCTGTTACGCCTGTGAACTGCCGTTCTGCAAGCGACCCAGCACCCCAGAGCTGGTCACAAACTGACTTGGCAGCAATGAGTTGGAAGGAAGCTCTGTTCACCACTGTTTTGCTGTCGGGTTCCCCTGTTCGGCTAAGCGGTTGACAGCAAAGCCCAGCAACGGTTTCTCCTTCCCCTGACAGTTTTCTCCTTGCTTCCTCCCTCCGCAAGACAGCAAGGAGCATTAGCTTCAGTCTCTGAACCTCACAGCCCCGCTGGATTTCGAAGAACAGCTCCCGGGTTACTTCGCAGAACAGTCTGATAGAGCCCACGCACGGGCTTCGGGTGTTGATGTTCCAGAGGGATCCCAGCTCTCTCCGGTTTGATGCTTCACCCGAACAACTAAGTTCCAGACCCAGCCTACCTTGGATTATCGTGAGCCATCCTTGGTCGCAGTTCACTGTTTCTACGCACGGAATGGAGCCTTGATCATCCGGCCGCTTGAACCCAACTCTTCTGGATTTTCTCATCACCCCACTACCCAACGGGTTCCCACGGGCTGGCGTCTGCTCTCCTTCTCCTTCGGACGTCCAAGCTTTTGGAAGCTCAGTTGGTGTAACATCTCGAAAGTCCTCCGCCTGAACAACTTCAGTGAGGAGTTTGAAAACTTCACCGTTGAGCTTTTTGTTGGCCCAGCAAACCTCTCCGCTTGCGGTACAGAACGTCGACCCACGTTCCTGCACCATCTTCAGCTCGCGGCTGTTTCTCGAATGAGCACTCTGATGGTCGCAGTCCTCAGGTGACTCTTCCCCTGCAGACTGGTTCCGCACGGGAGTGGCAGAGAGTGTCCTCGACACTCCTCTGTTTTCCCCTGTTTTTTGAACAGGCGGCTTTGTCTCAGTTACGGAACAGAACTTCGGGACTCTGGGCACAGCTAGCAGCTCACTGGTTTCGGCTGTTGAAGCGTCCCTACATTCCTGTTCCTTAGGCGCCTCAGCATAACCAAGCTGATTACTAAGAGGTCTGGCAGCAAAGAGTTCGACCCCCGCTCCATTTGCCTCCGTTTTTCGGGCGACCTGTTCTGTCTCGCTGGACAGCGAACAGCAACGCTTTGGGTCGACTTGTTCACCGCCCGAAACGAACCCAGCGGCTCCCTTAGCCTCCTGGTCCATCCCCCAGAATCTACCTTCAGCTTTGCTGGCGGTTCTCCTCTCTTCCAGCCAAGCCTTCGCCGGTTTCCCTTTGGGCCGCATCACCTCTGCTCGGGCAAAGCACGGACTGCTTGCCCTCCGTCCCTGGTTCTGCTTCAAAGGGTCCACCTGTCCGACTGTATTCCGGGTATCCTCCCTTACGGGTGTGGGTCAGCTCCCCAGTTGGTTCCTTCGGTTCGGCTTCATCCATCTGGGCTCTAGCCCGGCTAAGGGCCTGTCTGCCCTCTTGGCCGCAGATTGATCCCCAGCAACCCACGACCAGCGTGTGCCCCAACAGCACAGAGATAGCAGCCACGGACCCGCTGTGCCGAGCTCACACGGACAGTGCCAGACTTCCGCTCCACTGCTGTCTCGCCTTCCTTCGAGACAGCCCTGGTCCCAAAGCCTCTACGCCGTGTGAAAGAGCTCACTGTGCCTCCAGCAGCGCACTGAACTCAGCTAGTCGCCCACCCATCTCACTCCTCTAAGACTGGGCCACGGGCAGCTCGCCTCTTCCCACTCCATGGACTGCCTTGGCCACCTGAACACCATTCTCCTCAGAACAGGTGACGCCCAGCATGGTGTAGCTCTGTTGGTAGTGAGCTGAACCGAAACAGAACACACGAAGCAAAAAAACGGAGCACGTCCTGCTCTGATACCACTTGTGGCGGCCGTCTCGCCGGAGACTCAAAAAACTGCGGCCTTGGCAAGCGCGCACGCCCAGCAACTAGCAAAAACCATGTCTCTTTCTTTTTTTCAAAAGCAGACCGTGGGCTCGCACTGATTTCAGCCTTACTCTCTCTCACCGCATTCCCTCACTTCTCTCTCTCTGTCACGGTTTTGCAGCGGAAGTAAAAGAAACCAGCATGCAAATACAGATTGCAAACTAGAAACAAAAATAGATAACAGAGACGGGAGAGGAGATGGCGGGAACCAGTTTTCTGATTAAGTGTCGAGCATCCACTAATTATTTAATTTGAATTTGGCCAATCAGAAAGAAAGTTGAAAAGTCAAGCACTCCGTGCACTTGATTCCCTCCATGTGATGTCACGTAGTGTTAATTGCTTCCTCTTCCACTTGCATGCAAGAGCCTTTCCCTGCTAGAAGCTTCCCACTCCACATTCTCCTTCGCCCAATTCAAACGGAACTATTTGGTTCCGTTTGGTTCCTTCCGAATTGGTTTTCGTTGGCAAGCTGGCAGTTCTTCGTTACACGGGAAGGGAACTTGCTCCATGCAAAGTGCTGGGTTTTAAGAAATCCTTTAAAAAAAAAAGAGAAAACAGGAAATAAGTCCAATTTAGGACTAAATATAAAAGGTAACAAAAACAAATTTCAATATAGAGATTTGATTGTATAATAAACAAATGAAATTGAATGATTTTGTAATAACCCAAAATTTCTAAGGCCAGAATAGAAATTATAAAATTTAAAAGGACCAAACTAGAAAAAAAAAAAAAAAAAAAGAAAAAATGATCTGAACGTCTGTAACGTTCAAACGTTCTAATCCGAAGATTTACTATATTAAATCTTAATTATTTTTGGATGTTTGTAATTAAAATCTTTATATAATGTTGATTGATCATTGCACAACAACAAAAGCCTTAACTTAATTTCAAAAACAAAGTTGCAAATTTCTAAAGTTTTGAGGATTGGAGTCTGTTTGTCTGATGGTTTTTGGAAAAAA